GAGGCAACGCTTTCACTAGGAAGATTTTAAGGAGATAGCAATTTTGTAAATTGCATTTTCAAATTCGATTATGATTACAACATCCCTCTTCATAGTTCGAATTGTGAGATTTGGCAATTAGTCTGAACGTTTGGGACTTATTGATATAAGTTCTGAAATAGTTTAGACACATATATGAGCTTTCTCATAAAAGGTGTATGAGCTTGGATAAAAGCTTATCGAAGCGTTTCATATCAGAAATATGAACTTTTGGTAAGAAAGTCAATAAGTATTGATTTCTAGAAAGTCCAGTTGATTTCTGAATACATGTCAAAGCTAGTGGGAGCATAAGTGTTATGCTGGTAAGGATATAATTATCATGTTAGTGGGAGCATGATTATTATGTTAAATGTTGCAAGTTAGCAATATTAATTATAGAAAATAAAAGTTTCAATTCGTAAAGTTGCAGAGGTTGAAAATTTGTTTTGCTATAATTAATGGAGAGAAATTTATACTTCATTTCAAATCTAAAAGCTTAGATCGAGAAATTTTAATCAAATTTAGTCAAAGGACATATATTAATGTTATGTTGAAAACGTTCAACATAAGGAAAATTTTTATATATGGCAATATTATAGCAGGAGACTGGTAAAGTATCATGTCTTTATGTAAGACATTATGAATCGTATCCCATACGCATCGGGTATAGGATCGACTACATATGCTGTAATATTCGACCATTCTGTCTATTTCAAATGCCTAGGGCGTTAAGAGGGAAACTGACAAGAATCGGATATGACTAAAGTAAGTTAAACAACTGTCAAGTACAATCTAAGGTTCGCCAAGGATTGGTCACTTGTGGGCAGTTGGAAGTATAGTAATTGATGGACCATATTAACATTATTATGAATAGATAGGATTCTATTTAGAATATGTTTTCATATGACAAATATGGAAATGATTCCATAATGGGAGTTGAATATTAACAATCTATGTAGATTAGAAACTTTTATGCAAGACGGATGTTCAAAGGAATGTACTTTGAATGTGAGACTTCACATCTATGGAGTTGTCTTGTAACAATCTATGATAGAACACTTTGTAATATAATTGGCAAAGTCTTGGTGACTTTGGTAATGTGACATTACAAAAAGGAACATTGCATAAAATGTTAGGATCTAACATATTCTAATAGTAGCAAGAATTTGGTATTCTTACACTTGGGATAAGGATTGGGAATTGTGAAATGAGCATGATTGGAAATGTGTTCAATTGATCTATTTCACAAAGTAAGGACCATAGATAAACATAGTGTACATGCTTGGAGCATGGGATAACTATTGTTTCAATTCAAGTATTAAGTTGATTATCCAAAACATTATACACTGAATAATGTATAATCGATATGGTGATTAAATAATAAGTGTTTTATTTATACTCAAAAGTCTTGAGGCCATATTGGATTCGATTATTCTTGTGTTTCACTTCGCATGTTTTGACTTCCAAAATAACTAGGTTATTCAAACATCCACAGTCAATCATACTTTGGAAGTAGGTAATGAGGTTAGACTGTCATGAATCCGACTGCAGATTGTCTAAAGCGTTTAGACATAGCAAAAGTTTGATGCAGTGTTCATGAGTACTCCTGAAATAAGATTTGAGTATTGGATTAAACTCACGCTCACGTGAATCACTTCATGGATTTTATCACGAGTGATTGTGAGACGATAATATCTTATATTCTTGAAACGATGAGATATTAGTTGTTGTTTGCAAGTCGGTTGCACATTGATAATGCATAAACGCATCAGTAAATTGATGTTATAAAACACATTGTTGTGTGTGATTTGATGAGTAAATAGTGCAAGCATATGAGTCGACGTTTATCCGTTCCTTTTACCCAAAGTGGGATAAAAGCGATATCTATGGGCCCCTCGATGATTTAGTGATGACACCCTAAGTGTTTGGCCAAGTCTGGACTAAGTTGATGTGTTCAACTAAAGTCTATTGTCAGTCGTCATAAATCAGAAATCGGGAAACAACACATGAACATAGAGAATGTTATAATCCATGTCTCAGTTCATACGATATCTAGAGTGGAGGAATATATGATCCCTTATCTAAAGGACGCGTTGCTGATAAGATTAGAGTTCGACAACGGCTTTTGAAAGCTACGATTACTAATCAAATTCTGAAGTCATACTTGCAATAATAGTTATTAGGCTTATCTAAGTGGGAGACTGTTGGATTAGGTGTCTAAGCCCATAACTATTTTTGGTATGTACTTGATTTAATTATGAGCATGGTCCTTTTGGGTTGCCTTCACCATAGCAACTGATAGGATGAATTATGGAGAAAGAGGATTAATTATGATCTATTAATATATTATAAGAATAATATATTAATTGAGAAATCATATTATTTAATTAGTATTGATCAGAAATTAATTTGGAATTAATTTAGTGATTAAAAGAGACCGATTAAACTAACGGAGACTGATTATGTAAATCGGTAATATTTATAGTTTGGGCTCATGGACCTTATTGGTATAAGGTGGACGACATCTCTATGAGAGTCCATAAAGATTTCGTCCAAAGCCTGTTGAATGGGAGCCCATATGTTGTTTAGGGCCTAAGCAAAGGGAATTAGGGTTTCCATGTTCAAAACCCTAGAAGCCTCAACTATAAAAGGACCCCATTAGCTCCCAAAAACGTGACCAAGAGTTCTAAGAGAACCCTAGACGTTTTTGAAGCCTCCTCCTCTCTCTCTTGTTCTTCCTTGTTGCTAGTGGTGTTTGTGACTCCATTAGAGGTGCAACACTTGGGGCACTAAGCTTTCAAAGGTCAAGGAATTCTTGTTATTACAATATAACAAGTGAGGTAAAGTTTCTAACCCTAATGTAATGTGATTTTCAATGTATGTATGTTAGGCATAGGGTTATTGCTCTGGTATTCAATGTTGTATGTTCAAATTAGAAAAACCTAGATCCAAAGCAATTAGGGTTGCATGTACATCATAGGATTGATGTTATGCTCAAAACCCAACATAAAATGCATGCTACTAAAATGAAAAGACAATAAGCATAATCACTTATCATGGACACTCATTCTTATGAATAACATTTTTATCGACAATAACTGACCGGGCTACACATTTTCATTACCTCAAATTTTACAAATTTTCTTTTAATACTAAAATTATTCTACATTCCATGAATCTCTACGAATAATGTCCCTCCAAGACTAGGCACTAACCGAAAACCTTTGATTTTCTCTCATTAGATAACCGGGAATGCACATCGAACAAAACTGCTTACACATTGGAATGTCTAACGAATAAAGATTTTTAAGGACATATCATAATGAATATAAAATATGTCATGGAAAATATATCATACAAAGGGATGGCATGCGTTGTAAATGCAACATGGTTACCATGTATCACACGTCAGTGTAATATCAAGCATGCGACAACCACATTTAATAAGCCATATGTAGATCGTCTAATTGGTTAAACCAACATCTTGGTATAAGTCTAGTGTACAACATAAGGACTATTAACTAATAAGGTCGTATTGTGACACAGAACGAAAGGAAGGACCAAAAATTCTGCAAACATATATGATATAACTGTATTTAATCTAAAAGTGTTCGTAAAAGGCTTAAAATATCTCTTTTTATATAGGAAGCTAAATTTGGCAAGCGCGCCAATTTTTTTAAAACTAAAATTGACAAGAAATTCTTGTATTAACTTTATAAATAAATGGAAAAACTGAAACTAAGATAAACATATATTCTCCCATTAAAACAAAATTGAGTGAAATAGGAAAATGAGCCAAATTTTGTGGAAATTCTAAATTGATGGCCTAAACGGATGATTTCTCAAAGATGAGTGGGGAAAGTTACGTCCATTTAATGTTAGACCTCTTTTGGCCATGTTTGTCCACGTATTTCTTTATGTAGGCTTCTTCTAAGGCCTTATGGTATACTCATAACGAGCATGTTCGTGGTCTATGTGGCCACGAACAAAAAATGTGAACACCACCCCATACTCTTAGAGGATGCAGTATGGGCCAAAAACGAGAAGCAACCGGGTGATGTGGCACCCTCAACGGCATCGTGACGGGGGAACACCCCCCCCCCCCCCCTATGTGTTATGTTACATCTCGTTGGTGTCATGACATTTTGCAACAAGAGAATTGGCCAATAGCATCATTTTTCTTTGCCCCTCTCTCTCTCTCTCTCTACTCTCATAACATGTCATAACAAGGAACATCATTTCCTACATGGTGTTAAGGTGATGTTATAGTTGAGCTGGCATGTGAAGTGGTGTTATAACATTGACCCACACCCAATGCTCTTAGTGGTGGCTAGTGGTGGAAAAATTCGTGGTCACAAACACCACTAACACCACTAGCAAATATGTTTTCTCAAAAGAGAAGAGTTAATCCATAATAGAAGAGTTTTCTCAAATATGTTTTATGTTTCTATAAACAAATCAAAAGCCTTAGCATACCTTTTTCATAAGAATTTTTTCATAACTCGTTAACCAAAAGCCTTAACATACCTTTTTCATAAGATTTTTTTTCACAAATCTTACGAATCTTACTAATAGTTTTTTTTTTTTTTTCGTTTGAAATAACATTATTGAATTATGAAATAACTTTAATTATATATGATAGGTGAAATTTACAAACAAATCAAAAACAATTACAATAACTTTATTTTTTAAAATTTTACCGATGTTAATTTGATCCATGGGTAGCCAGGTAGGGAGAGGACTTGCTTGTCGTGGTGAACTATGATTACTCAAATATATTTAACGAGCATTATATCGGTTAAACTACGAAGGTGCAGGGTTAATTTGATCCAAAAAGTTTTCCCTAATTTGAACGTGTTTTTGGCCGAGTTTCGCATACGATTCTGAAATGCACCGTCTTAATACGTCTTTCTTGCGTTGTCACATCAACGTGGCAGCTTTTAGTAAACTAAATCAATAAATCTTTACATCGATCCAACAAACTCTCTTAAATACTAAAAGAATTAACTACAACCTCTTCAAACAAATTTTTTCTCCTAACTTCCTTAGCATTCATCCCCGGCGACGTAATGGTAAACCAACACTGGCAGCCGTCGGCCAGAGACGATCAAACTGAACCGAAAGACCCTTATTACGTTGCATACATAATCCACTTTCTCCTCGGCGCAGGGTATCTGGTTCCATGGAATTCTTTCATCACCGCCGTCGACTACTTTCAGTATCTTTATCCGGCGAAGCACATCAGCAAGGTGTTCTCTGTTGCGTATATGGTGGCGGCCATGACTGTCCTTTTTATTCTGACATGCTGGTCTAGCTTCTTCAAGATGAAGCTGCCGGCGTTAAAAACGAGAATGAATTTGGGTTATGCTTTGTTTGTTTTGGTTTTATTGGTGGCGCCGATCACTGACTGGGTCGATCATCGGGATGAGTTCGGAAGAGGTTCAAATTTCGCTTTTGTGGTTCTTGTTTCGACGGTGGCAGTAACTGGTTTTGCTGAAGGGCTAACCGGTGGAAGCTTGGTCGGCGCCACCGGAAAATTGCCCGGAAGGTACATGCAGGCGGTTGTAGCTGGCAACGCTTCAGCGGTACGTATTATTATTAAGTACACGCATTACTTAGTTAATATATTAAGCCTAATAATTCAAAATGCAGGGGGTTTTGGTATGCATGTTAAGGATCATAACCAAGGCTTCACTTCCTCGATCGAGAAAGGGCCTTCGAACAAGCACACATATCTACTTCTTCACCAGCACACTCATCGAACTCCTGTGCATTATCTTCTTCAACCTACTCCACCGAATACCAACGATTCAACATTACATGACCGAACCTACCCAGACAAGCCACCTCGATGATCACCCACCCAAAACCGAGCTCCGACGACCGGAAACACTCCTGGTCTTGAAGAAACTCCGATGGCTAGCAGTGTCCATGGTAACAATCTACGTTGTAACCTTGTCGATTTTCCCAGGGTACTTGAGCGAGAACGTGAATTCAACTTTTTTTGGTGATTGGTATCCTGTGTTGTTGATAACTGCTTTCAACATTGGTGACTTTTTGGGCAAGTGTTTAACGGCGCTTTATGTGCTAAAGAGAAGTAGATGGGTGGTATGGGGCTGTATAGGGAGGGTGGTGTTCTTTCCGCTCTTTATGGGTTGCATTTTCGGACCCAACTGGTTGCGAAAAGAGGTTCCGGTGGTTCTGTTGACGTTGTTGTTGGGAGTTAGCAATGGGTACCTGACTAGTGTGCTTATGATCGTTGCTCCTAAATTTGTTGCGGTTGAGGAATCGAACATTTCTGGAATCGTAATGAGTTTGTTTTTGGCAATTGGGTTGGTGATAGGTTCGGCTTTAGGTTGGCTGTGGAACATACGAAGAAGATAGAAACCCTAATTTACTCTTCCAAATGTTCGTTTTGGTATAATGAAGAAAATTAGATGAAAGGAATGCGATTTCGTTCCACCTTAATGAAAAAAATAAACTGTTTGTTTGATTATTACCTGAAGAAATATTTGATAATTAGACAACCTCAATGATCAACATTGAAAAGATTATTCCTATTTATTGGTTTACTTTTTTAACAAATAATATGTGTGTTGTTTTTAAAGTTTTATAAATACTATTTATTAATATAAAATTCTATAAAATATATTTGTTTTTAGTTTGTATATATGAATAAATAACAAAAAGGTAAAGAAGATTTCATATATATATATATATATATATATATATTATATATATATATATATATATATATAAAGAGAGAGAGAGAGATAAGATGGGGTGATTAATCTTTTTAAAATGAGGATTCACGAGAACACCTTAAAAAATTGAAAAAAAATCTAAAAAAAATACAAATCATAAAATCGAGCATAGTACTATATCTGGGAGAAAAAAAAATTTGTATCATTAAAATTGAAGCATGGATCTATTTTTATGCTCGATTTTATGATTTTTATTTTTTTAGATTTTTTTTTTCATTTTTTAAAGATGTCCTCACGAGTTCTCACCGAATAGAGAGTAATGAAATTATATCACCTTATAATATATATATATATATATATATATATATATATATATATATATATATATATATATATCACTATTGTAAAAATCTCGACTAGGTCCCGATTAATCCCTAGACGCTACTCAACCGATTAGAGGGCGCCTAGTGATTAATCCCTGCATACATAATGAATGAAACATTATAAAACGATGAAATTTTAACATTTTAAAAAAGTTTTATTTCAATGGAAACTATTTAAGGCATGATTAGTGTTGTATTAATCATCTTAACCTATTGAGTTATCATATTAGTGGTATTTACGAACTTTGATATGATATTAGTCATATTTAATTTTATAAAATTCAACAAATTAGCAATTAATGGTCCCTGATTAATCCTCCGATAAATCTCCGCCTAGCCGATTAATCCCTTGACCCCAGTCCACCGACTAGATAACGTCGAGCGTTTTTTACAACCTTGATATATATATATATATATATTATATATATATATATATATAGATATAGATATATATATATATATATATATATATATATATATATATAATATATATAATATTATTTTTTATTCTAATGTTATTAATTTAATATAATTAGAGTGTGAAAATTAAAAATTAAAATTTGAAATGAAGAATCAATTATTAATTTAATGTAATGTAATTAGAATGAGAAATTTAAAATTTAAAATGGAAAATTAATAGGGTGACATTTGACATGATAGGTAACATATAATATTAATGAGAATTTATAATATTATGACATTTCTCAATAGCAGAATTCTTTCTTTCGTCGAATATCTATATATATAGGCCGGGTTATTTGGCCCCCCCCCCCCCCCTCCCCCTCCTAAAATGCATCCCCCCCTCCCTGGCCATTCCACCCATAATTTGCCTTTTTTTTCTCCAAAATCGCAGCCTTTTTGCACAATTTCGCTGAAAAAAAATAAAAAATCAATTTTTTTTTTTTGTAAAAAAAAAAATTTTCAAAATTTTTTTCAGCGATTTTATGTTAAAAGCTGCGATTTTTTGATAAAAAAATTCGAAAAAAAAGTCTGTGATCTCTAAGTATTTTTTTTATGAATTTTTATGATTTTTAGGGTTTTTTTGTTTTCCATAGAACCTAAACCTATATATATATATATATATATATATCTATATATATATATATATATATATCTCTATATATATATATATCATGGTTGTAAAAATCTGTTTAGGCGACCGATTAATCGGCGCCTAGGTACTTGGCCAATTCGGTCAAAATCGGTCTAATTAGAGGGTAACATAATCGGCCTTGGTCAATTCGATCAAAATCGGTCCAATTCGGTCCAAGTCAGACTAAATCGAACCCCAAATCGGATCTAAAATCCGACCCAAAATCGGGCTCAAAGGAGACAGTTGGCCCAAAGCATAGTTGCATCTGGATTTCAATGAAGCCTTCGACCTATTTTTTAGAAATGTTTCTCCTTGATAGTTCATCCTACCAACGATGTGGGATACTCAATTGAAAAAACATAGGAACACACAAAGATAAATTCATTCTTCCTTCTTCTTCTATTTTCTGTTTCGTATGTTCAGAGGGTGTTTGGGATTCTCGGTATACAACTCGATCATGTTAGTTCTTCAATCTCGACTCCGATTGGAAGATGATAATCAACATAGATTAGTTCTTCAATGGAGTTTCTTTCAAGCTTGCTCAAGTCTTCAATCTTCGGCGACGGTGACGACAAAGCCGGTGTTGAAGTCTCTGTTGAAGAGGCTTTCCTATCGGCAATTCCCTAGTGTTTTGAAGAACAATTCTGAGAAGACAAACGGAGCCACTTAAGTCAGAGATGGACGTGGACGCTGGAAAGCTTGTTCTTGGGATCAAATTGGGCGTTCAGTACAGGTGATTCTTCTACTCTTCATTCGTTCTTCAAATTAATCTCATCGATTTACTAACTGGGTATTCTGGATTCGAACTATTCTTCATGAACCTATGATTTAATCTATTAATCATCATTTATGATGGAAGATGATTAAAACAAGCTGCTTAATCATATTAGCATTGACTAAGCAGCTTGTTTCAATCATCTTCCATCATGCAAATTAGTAAATAATCGAAGCTTTTGTATATGTTGGTGTTGTCATATGTTGGATCCATTGTGTTGAAAATAGTTCATTTCACTCAGGATAACATATTTTTCTTCATTCATTGGTGTATATTTAGAAAGAAAAAGAAGTCATTCGGAAGTAGTTTTCGGTCATCAACAAATAGATTTAGGGCAAAGATTAGTCTCCTTTGTTTTAAAAATAAAATTATGTTGTTTTTATTAAAAAAACATATTTTTTTATTAAAAATAAAAATACGTAATGTTTGGTTAAAATAAAATTGTTGATTTTTTAGGTTTTAAAATATAATTGACACAATGGCTTGGATAGACAGTTTTTTTTTTTTTTTTTGAAAAACTACAAACGGACAAAATCAAGCTTTAATAGCGTACAAATACTTCAGCATAAATTTATTGAATTACCAACCACTCATGGAAAATGTAAAATATATAGCCTCTTGAAAAAAAAGAGAAACATGGATCGTTTTATTTTCAAATTGATAGATACAAAGTAAATTATAGTTTAGGATTTTAAACCAATATAAACCATTTTGAACACTAATATTTTATATTAACCTTTCCAATTTCTGTTACTTGCTTTCCCACGTATCATTTGCTTTCGACCTTCATTAACACAAGAAACAAATGAAACCAAGACAAATATCAATAAAATTTGAAAGATACATAGTAAATTACCATTAAGGATTTGAAAGATATCTAAAAAGGTCGATTAACCATTAACTAACTATAAAATCCATACATCCTTCCTCTCTCGCCTACAAAAATGTAAGTATGGTGTTGTAATAGACAAAAAATTGAAATAAGGATGTTGTCATAGTCAGAAAACGAAAACAAAAATAAAAACAAAATTAGCATATTATTATAAATAAATAAAGGAAAGTTATCTGGTATATCTGTATTAACCGAATTTAAGAGTGAGATTCTATAACTTGATATATTTTCTTGTAAATACTTTGATTTAATAAGTAAAAGTTACCTGATATGTATTGCATAATTCTGACCAAGCTTCTCAAGTTCATCCATCACATAATATCTAATACATGGGCTGTCTTTAAAAAAAACCAAAGCACCAAAATTAAGTAAAAGTAGTAAAACCAAAATCGTTATAAGTTCTCAAGTCCATCCTATAAACAAACCAATATCAGTTTGCATAAAAATAAATCAACTTTTACAAGTTTAACATCAAGAAGTGGAAAACCAAAAGTGTTATGTTTATGCATCAAAAAACTTAACATATGATTAAACACCATCTCCAAATTTTGGACATGGTTGTTTGAACTCCATATTGAGTAGCTTTTCTAGTACCTAATTAAGACTTTGAGTAAAATAATAAAAAGAGAAAAAGGAAGGATATGTTTACATTGAGTAGCTTTTTATGCACATGATATGTTTATATCTTGATTCGCTTCCTAACTTTAAATTGAGCCCTAAAAAGTAGTTGTATGGTCATTAAGTAGCATATAATTTACTAAAGTAAATAGTCATGCAAAATAAAGACTCTCATACACAAACCCAAACATACATTACCTGAAATAATACAAATGAACATAAGCACTTGTAGCTCCAATTACGTAAGCCTTTATACCAATACGAACAAACATAAGCACTTTTAAAACAATAATACAAACCAAAAATAATATTTACTTTAATATGTAAACTACTAACATATAGTGTGATAACTTGTTAAAACCTCACCACTAAACCAAAATAAAGACGTTCATAGCAGATCATGTAAGTGTATGTTACTTAAACATATAATCAAATACCTTTAGTTCACTTGATAAATTCACACTTTTACCATGGATTGTCACAAAAGAATCCAATTTGCAATTATCCACATCAAACCATTTGTAGAAAAAAGAGACTGGGACACCATAATAAAATCTAATACCAAAATCTTAACTAATAGATTAAGCCAATGTTACATCTGATTCTTACTTGAGACCTTCAAATCCTAGATGTATCCAAGAGACTTGTTCATACATTCATGTAATCAGAAATAAGAAAAGGATTCAAACGAAAATGAAAACCAACCTACCATTTTTCCTACATTCATGTAATTTGAACTTAAGATTTGTACAAGAGAGCAAAACCGATATAAATTTGAAACATACAATGATGCAGGAAATTGATGAAAAAGATGAAACATATTGACAAAAATCTTATAAAACTGCAAAGCAGGAGGATGAAATGGTGTGGAAGACAACCCAGGCAATATATCGTACATGAATAAAAAAATGACCTTCTTCCTCGTGTTTCTTTCTCTCCTTCGTATTTATCTTAGATCTGCACAAAGAGAACAGTAACTAAAGTGATTTAACTCATCATATGTTAGAAATTGGGATTCTATGTAATACATGTAGTGTACATAATCAAAATTAGACAAACAGCAAAAATTGAGTGTAAGGTAGAGATATAAAGAACCTGAATGAATTAAGGGGAGCAAATTCAACGGTTTTGGATAAATTTACTGATCTTCAAATGTTAGATGATTCTGAAATCCAAAATCCCCCGAAAAAACCAAATTAATCCTTTATGGGTGAAGAATTTTAGAAATTTTACCAACAATAAAAACCAATCAGAAACAAAATAACCGAGATTATTGTACAGAATCAAAATTAGAGGTTGTATCGATAACTGAAAATGAGAAAAACTACCAGGAACCAAATCTAGTTTTAAAGGAACCCATAATTTTCCATCGTCGTTTACAACATTTTGGAGCTATCTTGAATGGCGAGAAGGAATGCAAAAAACAGTTGATAGTTCGATAGAGGTGGTGATGATGGATAGTTAACAACGGTGATGGTGGAAATTTGTGAGGTTTACCAAGTGGTGGTTAGCGGTTTGACTGCCAGGAGTGATGGTTGCTGGTTGTGACAATTAACAAGGTTGATGGTTGGTGATGGCGACCATGAGAAGAGTGGTGATAGGTTTTTTAGAAGGGCTATCGCACGGTGTTTGTAATGAAGGACAAAGATGGCTTGGAATTGATATCAAGATTGAATGGTTGTGAAAGGAGCGTCGGAATTGAAGACGCAGCGATGGTGATATGGAATCAAGGGATCTACATATCCTCGACGACGCTTCCTGTCACACCCCCGAACCAGACAGGGGAAACGTCCGAGGGCTCGCGTGACTTAAATTGAAATATCATCACAATGAATATACATGAAACATAACACATTCATCACCAAACATTACATAGTACAACTGGCATTGTTTACATCAAGTACATGGTTTACATTACATGATCCCAAAATATAAAGTGTTTGGTGATTAGCAACTACAAAAGAAACTTTCAACACACCGGATGCTTCCTTGTCTAACTATTACCTAAGAATACAAGTTATTTTGAAAACGGTCAACATATATAATGTTGGTGAGTTCATAAATGTGTGTTTGATGTAAAATATTTATGTCGTTCATAAAACCCAGAAAATCCGATATTTTCTGTATTAAGACTTTTCTTGATAATGTTGTGATGATCCTGTAAGTATGTGCGTGAATGATTTCAAAACGTGAATAAATGAGAGGTTTTGCATTATAGTTTTTGAAAGTACAAATGAGTAAGATTGGTTTCCCCTGGAAAACCCGATGTTTTCCGATAAAAGTTATGATCGTTTTGCATTATTGTATCGTTACATCGAATGAATATGATTTCCCTTGATTACTTTAATCATATCGGATTTCTAGGTGAGTCGTTATAACCATGCATGATAATGACTAGTTCGTCTGTCTTGGCATTCTAATGAACACCGAAATTTGATCTTAAGACTTTGTCACCCTAGACTGGCCGAGTCTAATTGTAGCGAACAGCTTAGGTGTGGGGGAGTCACCCCCGTATAGATCTATACACAAACTCTCGCTCTCCCTCCAGGAGACTTTGATTACAACTACAGACTACGACCGACACTTATTGGTGTCACCCGTTATTACTCACTTAATCCACATGAATTTGATTAACCTTGATTAATGACCTGATTTTAGTTTACTTGAAGAGAAGGTAAGCCTAACAGACGAGGAGAAGAGGACTACTAGGCCCTACTAATTTCGTATGTTATTTGAGGCTGTCGAGTATACGAAAAGCGCGTTGGCCCATTTCGCATATGATTTATTTGGACCTTACTAGTAATGCTAATGGGCCACTGAGGCCTAATAACATGTAAAAACCATTGAGGGTCCCTTAAGCATGTAATTGGGTCACAGGAGGCCCAATAACATGTATTATTTATGTTGGGCCCAAAAGTAATGTTAATGAGTCACGAAGGCCCAATAAACATGATTACAATCTCTCAAGCCCAACCATTAGAATGTTTACTTGTTTTGTATAGTATTAATGTTGCGAGTTGTTTAATCGATATGTCGTAAATATCACGAATTTGTTTTATAATGATTCATAGATTTATAAAAACGGTTATTTTTCTATTTAAAACCCATAAGTTATAAAGTTTTGTATATTTTGACCCAATTATTTTATTATTAACATAACTGACCAAAAATATTAGTTTGACCTATTCAGCCCCTTATTTTGGTAAAGTTGGCAATTTTAGTCCTTTTTATAAAAAAATGACATATTAGGTCCTTGAACTATTTTTCTTGACATTTTTTACTCAAACACTTATTTAAATAATGTTTTAAGTCCAAAAGTAAATTTTTAGAAAGTTTCAACCCTTTAGTTAAAAGACTTGCATTTTAATCCACACTTTTCACAATT